TGTCTCCATGCGGCCGTCTGAGGTAGGTACTCCGTATAGGTAGTGCATGTGTGCGTGTGCTACGCGCCGTTGCGTGCTGGGGTTGAGAGTTGGCTTAGTGACATCAAAATTTAGGTCAGAGTCATATATGGGAAGCATCATGCTGCATGACAAACCTCGACACAAGATCTCACCAGCGAAACACAGATGGCCACGGTGACTTAAAAACATGCGCGGCGCAACTATAAACAAAAGGACATGCAGCAGCCGCGCGCCCTCGTACGCATCAATTTAGTTGATCGCGTACAGGAATCTCTTCTGCTTCGCTTCTCCCAGCCACTACTTCCCTCCATTCCGATTCCCTCATTCGCGAAATTGCGTTTTTCTATGGGCGCTCGCGTTCGGCTGGCTATATTACATACGTCATTCACCGTGAACCGTACACAATCGCTATCCTATTAGACGTCATAGCGTGCTCGTCACAAATAAGGCCATCACTAACATTGTCACGCTGCTGCGGTGCGAACTATTCAAACTATAGTCGCGACGACGTATCGTCATCGTCATCGTCCCCCGCCCACGCCACCGCCGCCTCGGCTTTGAGGTGTTTTAATAAAAAAGATATTCATTGGACGGAATGCGCATCACGTGCATTCACTGCACTATTAATAACGCCGAGTAAAGGACGGCGTATAACAGTAAGCCTCCGAGATTGTTCACCGTTTGACACTACTCTCGTCTCTAGAAAAGGCCTTTTTTGGCATTTTTTCCGCCGAAATTCGGCACTAGAGTGCAATAATTAGCATTGTGCCACGCAAGTTGGATGCCTCGTGGACGTGGGAGAAAGCATTAGAAGTAAAATTATTTTGTTTTGTATTCGTGAGATTCGTCAGGTGGCGTAGTCAGAGCGACCGGTTCGTGTTTTTTGTGTATGAAATGTGTCCAGACAACTTTGCAGAAATTCGCATCATAGAGCTGGCAAAAGTTTCGAGCGGAGCATAGAGCATGAATCTGTAGTTATTTAACATGAATAAAGTTGTATGATTGTGTAAGCGAAGTAACAGTGTGAGTATTTTTAATTAATATCTGTTCGATGCTTATTCAGGCCTGCAGCCTATGGACGGCCTCTACTGTTGATCAACACCTTAAAGCCACATGTTAAAGAGTGCGCTTTTGCCAAGGAGTCGAATAATTGAGTTTTATGGTGAACTGAAAATCTGTTATGCTAGTGCTCTAGCATGTTTTTAGTCACATGCATGCTCAAATAACATTTATACATGTTTTTTATGTAAACATGTACATATCCGTGTACATATTTGCATGTATTTACATAAAATACACTAATTTTACACACATTTGTGTCAAAAAAATACGATAATATTTTTCTTTTACTCTATTGTCGCACTACTAACCCTAACAGTGTAAAAATATCTTAACTTTAATGCTTGCATTTTACCCTAACCCTCGTTCTAACACTACGCATAACCGCATGAAGCGAACATTGATTCCTGGTTTTGGGGCTCTTTTCCGAGAGCGATATCTCAGCTCGTGGAGTTATGCCACCTTTGAAATTCGATACCCGTATAAGGAAAAGGGTCGAAATCATTCATCTAAAATTTCAAGTCGATACGTCTCTCTTCTGCCTTTAAGGAGGGGTATAACAGTAAGGCCCCGAGATTGTTCACCGTGTGCACTACTTCGTCTCTAGAATAAGGCCTTTTTGGCATTTTTTCCGCCGAAATTCGGCACTAGAGTGCAATAATTAGCATTGTGCACGCAAGTTGAATGCCTCGTGGACGGTGAGAAAGCATTAGAAGTAAAATTATTTTTGTTTTGTATTCGTGAGATTCCGTCAGGTGGCGTAGTTCAGAGCGACCGTTCGTGTTTTTTGTGTATGAAATGTGTGGTCCAGACAACTTGCAGAGAAATTCGCATCATAGAGCTGGCAAAAGTTTCGAGCGAGCATAGAGCATGAATCTGTAGTTATTTAACATGAATAAAGTGTATGTTGCACACACACACCACCACACCACCCACCCACCACACACACACACACACACACACACACACACACACACACACACACACACATACACACACACAAGCATACACATGCATGCACTCACTGTTGCATGCACAAATTCACAAGGGGGTGCACGTGCGCGCGCGCACACATACACGCACGCACAGACGCACACACGCACGCACGCACGCACGCACGCACGCCCACACGCAACCACGATGCTGCGCAGAGACAAGCTTTAATTTAAAATCAGCAGAAGCGCGCTGCTGCTATGTTTTCCTTGCAGGAAATGATCGCGCCGTTACGGCCGGAGTCAGGGCAACGAGACACGGCGCGTGTGTGCGATGCGGTGATTGCGTTTGCCACGTGACACTCTCTGACGAAAGACTCTCACTGTCACGCGCACACATCACGATTCCGCTCGCGGTCAAACAACCGGGCGCTCCATAACACGTCCTCGCGGAAGCCAGAGTTTGCGTTGCTATATTTATATATAAT